CCAGTATTATTTGTACACATGCTAGGCGCTTCTTTTCAGTTATGTATCATAACCTTTCAGATTTTTACGGTAAGTAAAATAATTACTATAGTTAATACAGTTATTTTACAGAAAAATTTAATATAAATAAAATTTAATAAAAAGAAAATTATTTTTTTGAATATGTTATTATAATTTATTGCATTAGAATTATACAACATAGTATGCTATCTCAGACAACTATTGCACTAAAAAGTACTATTTTCAGACGATAACAGATAATTTGGACGTTTCTCTTATCAAAATAACGTTTCTCACGTTTTATACCTTCTTCGTGTTGATGCAATTGTATATTTATTGTTATACCGCTGAAAGACTCTTAACTGAGGTGAACAAATTATATGTATTAACACTGCTTATGTAAAACAAAAATATATATAATTTCTTTTAGAGTACCAATATGGCATACGGGGTGTATGAATGCAAATGGTATAATATACCGGCGAAAGGTGCAAAAGACCTGATGTTGATCGTATATCGATCTGCGATTCCGCTTAACTTGACAGCTGGAAAATTTGGAAATTTTTCGTTAGAATTATTTGGAATAGTAAGATATACATCTAGATGTATATCTAAAAAAAAAAATACACTGCTTTATATGCAATCGTTGTACAAAAATATCCATTTCTTTAATTTATAAAAATATTTTATTTTTATTTTATATTATATACTATGTAAGGTTTATAAATTTCTCTCTTTGCATATATTATATATAAATGATCTATCATTACTATCGTTCGTGAAAATAAAATTTAACATTTTATCTATAATTTTTACTCTATTTAGGCGGTAAAATCGTCAATGGGATATTTATCTGCGTTACTAACAATGAGAGAATAAAGGAAATAATATCGAAATAATTCTGTATAATCGACTACATCAATTTTTGAATAATGTACTGAACAGATTTACATGCACTGCCTGTAACATCACTTTTATTGAATAAATAGATATTTGTGTGCAATCAATGGAGCTATTTATTTGTTTCTGTTGACTAACATATCACAGAGTTAAATAAACATATATATTATATATAATATGTTATGTAAATTTTAAAGGATAAAAATTAGTCAGTATTGAAGTATTATTCGTATAAGCATTTAATCCAAGCTTACATTTACAGAGATATTTACATTAATTAATATAAATTGTATTTATTGCACGTTCGAGAATACATGTGCCCGTCAAATCGATCGAGATGCATATTAAATATAAATAACATATTTTCTAAGTCTAATTTTTATTTTGTTTAGGTAAAACATATATAAAAACAACAATATATTACTTATAATTAGCTATTTATTTATTTACATCTGGCGAAGAACTAAAAAGATAAATAAAAAAATTTATTAAACAATATTCTAACACTAACACACACACACACACACACTTCAATATCATAAAATAATCTTTTATAAACACACAAATCAAAGAACAACTTCTCATTTGATACACATATATCGGAACACTTTGTAACACTCCATGCTCTGATTTTCTCAAGTATCGCATAGCAACATTGACAAATTTTCCAAATGAATTTTTAAATAATTTATTCTTTTTTTAATTTTGCCGCCGTAGATACACACGTACAGCGTTTATTAATAAATTTGATCTTCTATAATATGATACGTATATTCTCCCCTTTTCTGTTTTATATCTATAATATTCTGGAGGAGTATTCTCTCCTTACTTATTCTTGTTATGAATGCATCTGACCCATATATAATGCATGTATATGTGTTATGTTAACTTGTCTACTTCTTCTTTTTTTCCTCCTAATAATCATTATTTTATCATTGAACCGTTTTGAAACGCACAGCTGCACTTACAAAGAGCGACTGATATAATGTGTTTACTTTCTGGAGTTGAATTTCAAATAAAGCCCACCTTGAACTCTTCTATACGAAAACTGAATCCACTCAGCTTGCTTATAGTCGGAAAGCAAGTGCTATATTTACGATTCAGCCTATCGTGGTTGTCATGGTACGTATATGATTATATACTACACGTATTACTATTACATTCGAAAGGGGTTATAGACATATTGGCAATTAGTGGTTGTCCACAATCCCTCCTTTACTGAGCAAGCGCAAAATTAAAGCGATTTGATATAACTCGGAGAGCGTTGCAGTCTAATGATAATTCTCACTCAGGGAACATCAATGAATGTCAACAAAGGTAAAATATATTTTGGAAAAATAATAAAATTGTTCGCGTTCTACAATATTTCCCCAAAAATATAATCGCATACGTATAAAATATAGATGTATATATAATATGAAGTTTACCAAAGTCAATTCTTTCTCTAAATAAGTGGTAAAAGTTTTGCATTTCAGTTTAAGTTTTATAAAAGAAACTCGATAACACGGTTAATCATTACTAAACTAATATCCACATGGTGAAAAATTAATATAAAATGTTCTAAATTAGCAATATAGAATTAATACAATATTTATAAATAAAAATTGCTTAATTAATTAATTGCTCATTAAATAAATTATTCTTTTTATATAAGAAATTAAATTGTACATCTCGGGAACAATATGTGTTATCTTTATTATTTACATCTTATATTAATTTATATATTATGCTGTCTTATATTTTCTATTTTACTATTTATATCTTTTTACATTATATATATTTATTCTTAATTAATATTTAACAAATCATTTTTCTGTTAAAATAACTATTCTTCTGATTGATATTCACAATACATTATTTATTAAACGTTCTTTAAATAACAAGTATTTTATACGACTAATATTGTATAATAATATTTGCACATGTTTAGCACAGTCTTCTATATAAAATAAAAAGAATAATTCACTCTTAATAATCTCGCAAAGACTTGCGAAACTCGAAATTTTTTGCGAGCAGTCTATAGACTTTCGATGAAACTTCATGTTTCACGAAAGTTTGCCAGAGTGAATATTAAACTTTGCACTCCAGCAAAAAATGTGTACTTTCAACCAGGGTTGAGTCATTTAGCCATTATGAGTACACTTTTTTAACTACATTTTCGTGTAGGAAACTGCATAATACGTATGAAAACGTAGGAAACGTATTATACATGTTCTAAGGTTTGATTCGGTGGTCTAGAGCAACACGATTGATTGAAATCTTATAGTTATGGAAAAGCGTGTGTGACAGGCTTAATTTGTTGACGCGTCCTGTGTGCAAGAGGATTCTAAAGTGCAAAAGGGGATTATACTGTGATCCCTTAAACTATTTTCGGCACTATGACGTATGATTTTCTTGCAATAACTACAATATGAAAAAAATCTTTGGCCTTCATAATATTTTTCAAAATTTCTTTCCTCCCAAGATTTGTGACACGGCCTACCTCCACGACTTATTTTCGAAATTTATTTTTAGTTTTTCCAAATCGCGTAATCTATGGGTGCGTTCAAAAAACACAACCATTGAGCATTGTCTTTTTAACACTCGACGTTGATTCGTTGGTTCTAGGAGTAAGAACCAATCACATTTGAACATCATACGTATAATACATGGTTGAACTCACGACGTATTATACTATGTATAATACATGGAGGAAAAACCCAGTATAATACATCGAATATAATACCTATCCAACCTTGCTTTCGACATACAGATTGATTCAAAGTGTTTTTAATAATAAGATTGGACATTTTTAACTTCTAACATTTATGAATCACTTATGCTAGTTTATAATAAATTTTAAAAATTAATACAAATAAACTGAATGCTATAATATATGCTTTCATCGTAATAATGTTCACGATTTTATGGGCATTTACAATAAACTTTAAAAAAGTGTTGTATATAAAATTGCATAAAACTATTATGTAAAATTGTATATATATGTATGCATGTATACTGTCAAATATACATATATACATGTACACTATTCAGTTACATACACA